CCAAGAAATGCAGGCAGCACCTCACCTGGAAAAGACAAGGAAGGAATTCTCCCCTTGAACCTCCAGAAGAAAAGCAGCCCTAGTAACCTGGATTTTAGGCCTATTGGGCCACTACGGATCTCAACTCTGAGATACAACATGTTCAATTTAACAGTGAGGATAAGTAAATCATGCTTGGTAAGCAGAGGATTAGTGAAAAAGAATGAAAGTCCTCACCAAGATGGATTAGCAAAGTAACTTCAACAATGAGCTCAGACACAGTCATGATTGTCAGACTGATGCGGCATCAGAAATGTTTTGTTCCATTTTATATACGGTTCCTAAGAGTTGGAATTAACTTTTGCCAGCACTTAACAACAAAAACAATAGTTGATACCATAACTATTTTTAAATAAAAAATAAGCACATATTCTAAAAAAGATTTATAGAAGAGGGAAGGAAAAAAGTCCTTACAGATGCAACATAGCACTCCTATATAAAATAAAATCTTATTAAATATCCTTTAAACCAGATTGTTTTCTCTCTACCTTATTCCTTATGTCACAAATATTTAGGTACTAGAAGCAGAGGCTGTAAAAGTGAACAAAACAGACATCAACTGACCTCCTGTAGATTCTAGTATTACAGGAGAAAACAGATATTTATTAAACAAGCAAATGATTATTTAATTGCAACTTGGATAAATTCTACCTAGAAATGTGCAAAATAGATCCAAAGAGATTTGGATGGAGTGGGTCAGAGATCATTTTTTAAAAGAAGAAACCTTGATAACCAAGAAGTAGGTAAAAAAGGCAAGGCCTATTCTCATATGTATGCAATGGTAAAGTGGTTTGACTCATTTGAGGATGAAAACAAAGACCAATGTAGCTGAGCAGTAACTAGAGAAAGAGGGAAGGAATAATAAATGCCTACAAAAATTAGCATACAGGATAATTTGGGCCATTTTAAGAATATGCAGCTTCAGTCTACTTGCAATAGGAAGCAACCTTATAACCACAATTGTACTGGCAGCTATGTAGAAAATGCATTAAATGTATCCCTTAAGTTTTTCAATGTTGAACTTGTATCATTTTTTCCCCATTACCTAGCTAAGCTTCCCTTGGGGCCCTGACTCACAAATTGTGTGAAATATGTACTTGTTATTTTTAATATCTACATGGTGGGGGGTAATTTGTTGCATATTTATATATTATAATAATAATAATATTGATACCCAAATATGGGATACTACCATAACAACAAAAACCTAAAATGGGGGAATGACTTTGGGAATAGGCAAGGGAAGGACTTTGAAAAGTAAAAGCTCAAAGTGTTTAAGAAGTTGTTACCAGCAGCCTGGTAACCTTCAAGGAAGATAGTGTTAAGAGTTTTGAGGAAAATATTATCAGGGACTTGAAGATAAGAGATCCTTGTTAAGGAAGGGGCACTTCAACCAGAGTGCAGTATAGCAACAGTTCAACTAGAGTGCAGTACAGTATAGCAACAATTCAACCAGAGTGCAGTATAGCAACAATTCAACTAGAGTGCAGTACAGTATAGCAATGATTCAACCAGAGTGCAGTATAGCAACAATTCAACCAGAGTGCAGTATAGCACTGATGGAAAACACATCATTCCTCCATTCCTCAATGCTTCTCCCCCCACCCCCTACCATGACCCAGTTTTCGAACTTGTATCATTTTATCCTGCTACCATAGTAACCTCATATTTTCGGGGGCGGGGGTTAGATCCCTTCAACCTCTCTACATGGACACTCATTACATCTATGAAGAGAGATGATTTTATTTTTAGCTTTTACTTCGTACTTTATTGCATTAATAAATATACTCCTTTCACTCATTAATGTGGCTGAGTTCTTCCCTCTAGGCAGAAAAGGTCCATGCAGGGACTGTGTTTATTAAATAACATGTATTATCACCTACATTTCTTAGACTACCATAAGCTAACTTTGCATTTTATTATTTTCCCTACATACCATAGTAGGTGCTGTTGTATACTCTCAGTGCAATTTCAATCCATGTTGTTATTCTTGTTAGGTGACATGGAGTGGGTTCTGACCCAGAGTTAATGTGTGCACAACAGAAGGAAACACTGCACAGTCCTGTGCCATCCTCACAACTGCTCCTCTGCTCGGGCTGATTGTGGTAGCCACCGTGTCCATCCATCTGGTTGAGGGACTTCCTCTCTTTTTCTGCTCCTCCATCTTACCAATCATGGCGTCCTTTGCCAGGGACTGGTCTCTCCCAGCAACATGTCCAAAGTATGTAAGGCAGAGTCTTACCATCCTTGCCTCTAAGGAGCACTCTGGCTGTACTTCTTCCAAGACATATCAGATCGGTTTGTCCTTTTAGCAGTCCATGTACTACTGGTTATGTGTTGGGCTGTGACCAGCATGGTCAGCAGTTCAAAGCCACCAGCAACTCCCTGGGAGAAACCATGGACTTTCTACTCTTGTCAAGAGTTAGTTTAGAAAACCCACAGAGGGTTACCATGAGTCAGTATTGACTTGATGGCAGTGAGAGAGGTCCTTTCAATATTCTTCAAATGTATCAATTCTTCTTAGGTCTTCCTTATTCAATGTCCAACTTTCACATGCATATGAGGCAATGTAAAATAAGATGGCTTGGATCAGGCTCACCTTAGTCTTCAAAGTAGCATCTTTGCTTTTCAATACTCTAAAGAAGTCTTATATGGCAGATTTACCTAATACAACAAGTGTTTTGATCTCTTGACTGCTGCTTCCATGAACACTGATTGTGAAAGTAAGCAAGACAAAATTCTTGACAAATTAAAACTTTTCTCCATTTATCATGATGTTACCTATTAGCCCAGTTATGAACATTTTGGTTTTCTTTACATTGAGTTGTAATCCATACCGAAGGTTGCAATCCTTGATCTTCATCAGCAAGTGCTTTAATTCCTCCTCGCTTTAATCAAGCAAGGTTGTGTCATCTACATATCACAGGTTGTTAATAAGTCTTCCACCGATCCTGATACTGAATTATTCTTTATAGAATCAAGCTGCACACCTTTAATAATTTTAAATCATGCACTATTCCCTTGCTCTATTTGCACAACTGCATCTTGATCCCTGTACAAGTTCTGCATGAGCACAATAAAGTGTTCTGGAATTCCCATTCTTCTCAAGGTTATCCATAGTTTGTTAAGATCCACATAGTCAAATGCCTTGGCATAGTCAATAAAACACAAGTAAACATCTTTCTGGTATTCTCTGCTTTCAGCCAAGATCCATATGATAGTAACAATTACATCCCTTGTTCCATGTCCCTTTCTGAATCTGGCCTGAACCTATGGCAGCACGCTGTCAATGTATGGCTGCAATCGTTGTTGGATGATCTTCAGCGAAAGTTCATTTGAAATTCCACCTCATAGTGAACCTATAAGATGGAATAGAACCACTCCACAGTGTGTCCTGGGCTAAAATGTTTACAAAAGCAGAACGCCAGGTCTTTGCTCCAGCAGAAGTACTAGTGGGTTCACAATACTAACTTTTGGTTAGCAGCCATTGGCTACCAGGGCTCCTTGACAGAACACTGCACAGAGAAATATTTAATTGCACTCAAGATTTTGGAGTTTAAGGGTATCAAAAGTAAAAGTTGATTTTTATGTCTGATTTCCCTGCTCTGCTTACAGTCCAAGAAGAAAAGATTGGGTTCAGAAACAAATGCAGATATATACTCGAGTATACGTTGATCCGAATATCAGCGGAGGCAACTAATTTTGCCACAAAAACTGCATAAAAAATGTGCTGAAAAACTCGGCTTATACATGTTTATATATGGTAAGTATACTTATTAAGGATAGAAAACATTTTTCTACCCTTTTGAGACTTGAGGGTAAAAAAGAGTTGATGGAACAATCAGAGACATTTTGATTAAGAGGAAAAAACACAGGGAATTCATTCATTGAATCTAGGGTCCAAATTATATTTCATACATATAAAATTATATTTATTTAATTTTATATATGGATAATGTAAATTATAAACACAAAGTATAATTCAATTCATATTATATAAAAATAAACCTAAAGTAATACTTAAATATAACTAAGTAAAGTATTTCCCAGTTTCCACTAATGCAAACGTTATTTTTGGAATTTCAACTTTTTCCACTTCACGACTTTAAACACTAATCTTAAATCTCTTGTACTAGTTGAGTCTCAGGGCTAAACTTTAGCACAGAAGAAAGATCAAGCCATATGCCAAACATCCATTTTTAATTTGTTTGCATTATCCTAATTCTGGTTTAAATTAATGCACTATCACTAGAATACCTTCCTGGGGTGAGGAGGAAGGGTGGCTACTTAAAAGATGTAAAACAGTAATGAAAGAAACAAAGGATGCCACCCTAATCGGCATTGCTTATTACACATATACATATACAAAGCCCAGCAAACAATAACAGACAACTTCAATTTTTATGATTAATGAAAACAATAATATATTTTTAAATTACACTATCTGAAAGCACAAAAATAAGGGCAAATAATGCTACAGATAGATATGCATAAGATAAAACCTATCCAAAGGGGATGAAATGAGCATGCTTCATCCTAAGTAAACCCATCTGTAAAAACAATCATTGAATTCTTTCAGCTTTTTAAACAATCACTATAGGTCACACTATTCTTCAGTCAAACATGGAAGGAAGTTCACTTGACTGGAAGAACACTCATTTTGCATTTGCATTCCAACTCTGCTTTCATCTGATTTCTACCACCAGCTGAGAGCAGCTACTCACTTTGTTGCCCTCCACACTCACCACACTCGCCTTCCCACAGGGCTTGGCAACAGCTGCAGGCTGAAGAGCCAAAGGGAGGAGAGCTGAAGGAAACACTGGCCATGTAGGAAGTGCTCACCTGAGAATGTGAGGTCAAAGATGCACACTAGCAGGAGGCTTAGTGTCATCAACTCAGACTAACCAAACCTATCACAACGTCTCCTGTTGTAAAATATGTACGCCAAAGGCAGGGCTTACCCATTCATAAGACAGAATCCAGCAGCCACGTGCAATTCCCAGAAGCACATTCAGAGTGCGACAAGGCTTCCCTGTGACCACGTGAGTGGTACTTTCACACACTTCCTGTGCAAATGAGAAGCCTTTCAATTTATCCACAACCTGAGTGATGACATTCTGCAGTCTGTCAAACAAGAAAAGTAAACCACATGGTGAATGCCCCACATCCATGAACACCAAGGAGGAAAAAGCAAAACTCTGGAAAGCTGAACGTGTAAGGTTTATTTCTGCCCTGCTGCTTATGTCTTCATTTCTTTACAATCAATGACTTACAAAACAGAGGAGGGGCTTAGTGACAGTCAGGTTTAGAAACAAGACTTCCGGATACCAGCCCATTCTCCTTCCCCTACACCAGGTAACTGCACTTCAGACCTATTTGAGCAAATTTATGCATGGTCAGAACCAAGCTTCCTAAACGTTTAAAAAATATCTTATGTATTGAGCTTCAGGAGTCCACGGGGGCAGTTCTACCAGTCCTGAAGGGTAGCTCTGAGTCAGAATCACGCAGTGGTAGTTAGTTTGGGTTCTTTCTTTCTTTCTTTTTTTTTAAGCTAATGGGGGTGGGCGGGAGAGAAAAACAAAACTACCGTTGAGGAAATTCGACAGAGGCTTCTTGTCTACATAACTTATTGTTCATCTTCTGGTGTCTCATTCCCTGTATCTTAACAATTTTCGTCCTCTATGTGTGTGTATGTATGTATAAATTCTGCGTATGAGACTGCCTCAGCCAAGCCCGCTCTGCCCCTCTCTGGCTCTCACTATCACCTGGAACTCCCCGGTGAAACACAGAGAGTAAGCGAGGCTTACGAACAACCCCTGACATACACGGTGAGTTAAGAAACAAACTCCTCTCAAAAAAGTCTATTAAGGGGGCGGAAAAAGAGGGTGCTATTGAACATGCGTATTCAGACTATAATACTCTTCCTTTACATTATGGCTATTTCTTAATCTTATCTCTCATGACATCAGATATGAAATCTTAATACCTCTGTTTCTATCCTGGAGGGGTTTATCTATCAAGGCTTGACAACTATGTCACAGCATCAAATTCTTGGACTACCCTGTGGTAAAAAGAGGAATGGGCCCAAAGCTGTACCCTTACCACTATTTGAACCAGAGAATCTGTAGAGGTTGAAGTTATCCAAAGCATTTCATTTGGAAAAGAACAACAACAACAAAACCAGAAAGAAATGAAAACCTGTAAAGTATATATTCTCCAAGATTCTTTATTTCTGAATATCTATGATTCTTTCTATTTCAAGACTCGGTTTCATTTCAACAGTTCTCGGTTATCTGTTGGCTGTACTATTAACATGTGTCTTTGCAAGACATGGTTAATCAACAATATCAGCATTTGGGGATCTGGTTCTTAGTTTCAGACAAGAAGTATATGGGAAGGGGCAGTAATAAAATATTACTTAAATAAAAGGTCCACACTTCAAAACTCAGATTGAGAAAATAACTAGTTACTAAAATCTTTTATATAGTTAAAATAGGAGATTTCTAATGTGGTAAATACATTTAATATTACTGAAGTGTATATGTGAATATTGCTGAAAAGGCAAATGTTTATTTACATATATATTTACCACAATTTAAATGACACCCATATTCAACATCCATCTTTGTATTAGACTGTACTTCTGTATTTAGAATGTTCAGTAGTTTTCACCTTGCATTTAAGAGCTGAAAGCTGCATTATATGATACACAAATATTAGATTCTCAATCCTTTTCATTTCCATAGGCAGGAAAAGAATCCAGCTACCAAAAAAAATGTTTTAAACATGCAATCCTTTGGCAGTATATGTTTCACCAAAATGTTCAAATGTTTTGATCAATATTTAAAAACCTAGAACAATAATGGTTTGTATATAAAAAAAACATGATTTTCCCCTCTACAAAGGAATTAAAAAATATGTTACAAAGAATATGGAACTATATTTTTGTTGGATGTTCATCACTGTGTTAAATGTTTAAGGGCAATGCTAAGAGCTTGCCAGCAAGCTATTAACCCTTCTACGAAATATGTATACAGCTGCTTTAATACCACAGTAGAAAGCTTTCTACCAAGTCGTTTCTTTAAAAGCTGTAAGAGAAATATTTCAGCCAGTGAAGCTTCATTTACTGACCATTAATGGGATGATAAGGGTAGAAGTGGTGGTCAAGCAAAGTCTTTGGGGAGCAAAAGGAATGGAAAAACACTGTAAAAGTTCTTAGTGCTGTCTAAACAACTCAAAATATGTCCACTGTAAAATGTTCATATTAACCACCTTTCCCTTGTTAATCACCTCCCCACTCCGATACTCATTATTTAAAGTAAGAGGGAAACAGCACAGACCAATTGATTCTCCATAAGCACAGTATTACAGTATATGAAAGGCCAAAATTACATATCAAGTAAAGAGTTATCAAAACAATTATACTTACTCAGATGGCATGCTGGTCATGACTAATGTTCTTGTTGGCTACAGGTTTCAAAGAGAAGGAACAAAAAACAGTGAAATTTTAAAAAATATTTTTCCCACAGAAATCAACTTTAAAAAGATTTTTTTAAGTTTTATCATTTAAAAATAAACACCAATGTGTATATAGACAGATGTATATATAAGCTTTATATTCCCGGAAAAAAACAGAAACGTAGACACTATGCCAAATACAACCCAAAATAACATAGGACATGAGGTAGAGGAATAAAACAAAAGTTCCTCTCAGAAATCTACTCTACCAGTTTGCTACTTGGCTTTCAAGTGCCAGCATCTTTATGAATGTCACAGGAAGGATAAGATAAAAAGGAAATCGTCCTAAGGTTTATAGGTAATCACATGCTCATTTCAGACATATCTACACAATAATATTTTCGCATCTGCTGCATGGATCATAAATGAAACTATTTTTTGAATTGGTGTATGCAACTTATTGGAATGTAAATAATTCCTAATACATATTTTTATTTTATTTTTTTTTCCTAATACATATTTTTAAATGCTTGATAAAAATTCATGAAGACTGCAAAAAAAAAATATATGCTATAGTCAAATATAAATCCCTGTGTAACTTCACCAACCCGAAATGAGCGCTGTTGTTAGTGCCACTGAGTTGGCTCTGACTCATCACAACCCATGTGCAACAAAGAGGCATCACCCAGTCCTCTGCCATCTTCACAATCGCTATACTGGAGTCCCTGCTGCAGCCACAGGGTCAATCTCTATAGCTGAAGACATTCCTCTTTATCACTAACCCTCTTCTTTACCAAGCAGGGTCTTGTACCTTCTGATAACATGGCCAAAATCTGTGAGATGAAGTTTCATTATATTTGCTTCTAAGGTACATTCTGGTTATTCTTCTAAGACAAATCTATTACTTCTCTGGCAGCCCATCATATAGTTAATGTTCTTTGCCAACATGATATCTGAATGCATCAATTCTTCTGTGGTCTTCCTTATTCAATCAATTTTAAGTTGCACTCAAACTTATCAGCACTCTGGAATTATAATTCCCAACATTCATTTCTATCACATATGTATGTCAATTTTATAATACTAGGAAGGAGATGATTGCTGATGTCAGAGGGAAGCTGGCTAAATGCAGAGAATACACGTACTAGAAAGATGTTTACTAATGTTTTATTAATTATGAAAAGGCATTTGACTGTGTGGACCATATTAAAGGATATAAAGTTTTGAGAAGAATGGGAATTCCAGAAAACTTAATGGTGCTCACACAGAACCTATACATGGGATCAAAAGGTAGTTGTGCAAACAGAACAAGGCATAGCACGAAATCAGAAGTCGTGTGCTTCAAGGTTGTAGTTTCTCACAACCACCTTGCTTGCTGAAAGTGAGGGGGACTTGAAGCACTTGCTGATGAAGATCGCAGATTGCAGCCTTCAGTATGGATTACAACTCAATGTAAAGAAAAGTGAAATCAACCAGAAACACAGGGAATCCAGGGCGGATGATCCCTTCAGGACCACTGGTGTGAGTGGCGATACGGGGAGGGTGGAGGGAGAGTGGGTTGGAAAGGGGGAACTGGTTCCAAGGATCTACATATAACCTCCTCCCTGGGGGATGGACAACAGAAAAGTGGATGAAGGGAGACATCGGACAGTGTAAGATATGACAAAATAATAATTTATAAATTATCAAGGGTTCATGAGAGAGGGGTAGCGGGGAGGGAGGGGAAAAATGAGGACCTGATGCCAGGGGCTTAAGTGGAAAGCAAATGCTTTGAGAATGATGAGGGCAATGAATGTACAAATGTGCTTTACACAATTGTAGTATGTATGGATTGTGATAAGAGTTGTATGAGCCCCTAATAAAGTGATTTTAAAAAAAGTGAAATCATGACAATTGGACCAAAAGATAACAAACATCATGATTAACAGAAAAAAGGTTGAAGTTGTCAAAGATTTCACCTTGCTTCGATCCATAATCAATACTCATGGAAGAGATCAAAAGGTGGGTTACATTTGTTAATCTGCTGCATGTCTTTAAAGTGGTGAAAAGCAGGATGTTACTTTGAGGACTAAGGTGCACCTGACCCGAGCCATGGTATTTTTAATTGCCTCATGTGCATGAAACGGACACTGAATAAGGAAGACTGAAGAAGAATCAAGGCATTTGAAGTATGGTACTGCCAAAGAATATTGAAAGTACCATAGACTGCCAAAATAACAAACAAATCTGTGTGGGAATAAATACAGCCAGAATGCTCCTTGGAAGCAAGAATGCCAAGACTTCTTCTCAGATACTTTGGACATGATATCAGGAGAGACCATTTCCTGGAAAGGACATCATGCTTGGTAAAGTAGACGGATAGTCAAAAACAGGAAGACTTGGAACAAGATGGATAGACACAGTGACTGCAAAAATGGGCTCAAATCTAATAATTGTGAGTATGGTGCAGGGCATAGCAGTGTTTCATTCTGTTATACATCAGATCACTAAGAGTTAGAACCGACTTAATAGTAACTACCGACAACAACATGCAGGAGAAACCAATATCCATAATACTGTCAGCAAAAAAGAGAGTTTTAACACATAATCCTTTTTAAGCACTCCATTTCAATCTTCTCTTTTTCCACCCCAATATATTCCACTCATATGGCCCTGGCCCTTTGGGGTTTTCTATTAGTCATTTTGTTTAAACTGCCTGGATTTTGACTCCAAGTAAATCCAGAAGCACCACTTCTCCCTCTAACTACCATTTAGTATCTTTTTTTTTTTTTTAAGCAGCAGCAAGCTGGTCCCATCACCAGGGAGCAAGAGGAGATGGGATGCCAGCTGTCTTGATTTATTTCAGTCGTCCTCCAATCAAGCTGCAACCTGATTAAACTCTGTCCACATGTTCCAACTGGCCTGGTTGGCACAATTAACCTAACTGTCACAGGAACAAAAGCCAGAAATATCAGAATTCGTATCTTTGATATACATTTCAGCCACTACAGAAAATAACAACAAAAGAAACCAAAGAATCAAAAGTTTCACTTCCTGTGCCCTTCCTTTTTCCTCTAACCGAGACTCCATGGGTCTAATGATCCTGGAGCCATGATAACAAATCCCACCCTCCTGACAGCAAGTCGGCCACATCTGGACTCCTCTGGCTTCATCAGATGGGAGCAGCAGCAGCATCTCCACAGTGGCCCAATGCCAGTTGCTGGAAGAAAGGGTTCAGCACCCTCCATTTTTCTTTTACCGGAGTCTTACACCTTCCAATCATTGCTCCCATGATACTCAATAATTCTTAAAAAACAAAATAACAAACAAAACTCCCTCATAATTAGAGGGGTTTGTTAGGCAAGTTAACAAGCCAGGATCAGTAGACGTTAAAGAAACAATCATTGGCCTACAGTAGTGACTGTCCCTCAGTCAGCAGTCACTGGCCTTTCTCTGATCCTCGGGCTCTACGAATCTGCCTCTGTGGGCCAGGAAGCCCATCTGCTGCTCCACTTCCTTGTCTCGGGGGCTCTGGGCTCTACCTCTGTCACTTTAGGCAGGGTTTTCAAAGTGTGCTTCTGGTGGCTCTTCTTTCTTGGTGGTCGCGGGAATTCTCTGTTTCTGCTTCTGAGATCTCTTACAGCTGGTGGAATGGCAACCCAAATGGGCAGTCCCCTCTATAAGTGGTCCATACATCCTACTCGCATGTTCTTGTCAGATGCCATCAAGGCGGTTTCAATTGCAGCAGCCCTACGCACCACAGAACACACTGCACAGTCCTGCGCCACCCTCACAATTGTTCCCATGCTGGAACCCATTGCTGCAGCCACTGTGCCAATCCAGCTTGCTGAGAGCCTTCTTTTTCACTGGGCCTCCACTTCACCTGCACTTGTCCTTCTCCAGGACAGGTCTCTTCTGACAGTGTGTCCGAAGTAGGAAAGATAAAGTCTTTCCGTCCTTGCCTGTGAGAGCACTCAGGCATGGCTTCCTCTAAGACAGATGGGCTTGTCCTTGCAGAGGCCATGGAACGTTTAACACTCTTCTCGAGCAGCACAGTTCCAATGCTTCGATTCCTGTTTGCTGAGGCTGCCCAGTCATTGGTGGGTCTTACAAAGCATGGATTAAAAAAGCCATATTCAGAAATTTCACGTCACCACAGGGTATGAGTAAAATGCTTTTATAAGAATTACATTATTCTAATGAGAGTAGAGATACCAGGAGGGGAAGGGGAAGGTGGGGGAGAAAGGGGAACCAATCACATTGATCTACATATAACCCTCTCCCTGGGGGATGGACAACAGAAAAGTAGGTGAAGTGAGACATTAGACAGTGTAAGAGATGAAAAAATAGTAATTTATAAATTATCAAGAGTTGTGAGGGAGGGAGGGTGAAGGAGGGAAGGAGGGGAAAAATGAGGAGCTAATACCAAGGGCTCGAGCAGAAAGAAAATTTTTTGAGAACAATGTGCTGGCAACAAATGTACAAATGTGCTTGACACAATGGATGTATGTATGGATTGTGATAAAAGTTCTATGAGCCCCCAATAAAATGATTTGTTTAAAATGACAATATTCATAGTTTTGTAACTCATATGAACTACTTAAAATACAACCAACTCAGTACCTTAAACATTAAGCCTTACACATTCAATCATCTCTATGAGGTAAATAAGAATGGAAGACAAAATGATCCCCAGCTGACAAACACGACGGGACTAAAAAGCCCTAAGAGGAAGGTGGAAAAGCAAATTCAGCAAGTAACCTGGGTCAAAAAGATATGCAAAGGAGGAACTCAGAGGAGTGATAGATATCTAGCTAAATGAGGAATGACTGCTACCATCAGTTTATAATTTTCTCTTTAAAACAGCGGTTCTCAACCTGTGGGTCACGACCTCTTTGAGGGGGGGGTGTCAAACGACCATTTCACAGGGGTCACCTGATTCATAACAGTAGCAAAATTACAGTGATGAACTAGCATCAAAAATAATTTTATGGTTGGGGGGGTCACCACAACATGAGGAACTATTTTAA